TTAACACCAATAAAATCATAATGTGACATCATTTCAAAAAACAGAGATATTTGATTTGTGTTGAAATGTTCTATCTCAGGAAAAAGGATTTTCTTTTTATGTGCTTGTTTATTCAAAATACAAGTGAACAAAGAGTTGCTTTTTAAAAATGAATTTGATTCCATATTAGAACTCTTTATACTCTATTGCTCAGTATCATATTTTAGATCTGGAGCTTACAACTTTATATATTCAATCGATCAACATTTAGAAAAATGAGTTACACAGTGAAGTGTTCAATATAAACGTTTACATTGTTAATATGACAAAACTGTAGTGCGGTTAAATTGGTGTTTTTTGTTATTGCAATGTATGTCATTGTGTCATGTCATATGACAACATTTAACTTCAGGATAGACGGAGACATCTTCTAACCATAGACATAAGTATTTTTTGTATTTAATTGAAAAAAAGTATACACACCGTCTAAGTCTAATGGATATAAAATATGTGTTCAAACATTAATCAAATTTATAAACAACACTACAGATACACAATAAAGTTTCAAAATTGCTTACTGTTACAATGTAGTAAACATTGTTAGGGTTTATGTTAGCAAAAGTGAGAAAAAATATGTTCAATAACTGCGAAATAAAATATCTATACTGTAAAGAACAATCAATAAAAAAACAGAAAACTTCTTTCGGTTACCCACCTTAAATAGAAGACTTGTGTCTGTATTGTTAAGAATCACAGTTTATGGCAAAACTCAGTAAAGATCCGCCTAAAATTGCATTTAAGGTGGCTGATATGGGAGTTTTTAACGACCTTGACTGGCTATACAGCCCTCGCACGGTCGGTGGCTGATGATGATGGGAGTTTTTAACGACATTGACTGGCTATATTGGTGTCTTCCTCCATCTTGGATTTTGAAGTAGCAGATAACAATTGGTCTAGATGACTAGATCTTTAATGAAATGTGCAAATTTTGAGAGTAGTATGTAATTCATGTGTAAGACTTTTCATTTTTCATGTTAATATAGAAAATGATGTGTTTTATCATATTTACGGCTGTATTTTCTAAAAAAAAACAATATTTTTGTTTTGATTCATTTTTTTCCTCAACTTTGCCAAATAAGGGGAGATAACTCAAATAGTAGGGGAGATAACTCAGATAAATTAATTTTTATAATAGAAAGTGCCCTGAATTTACTTATTCTAATATGTAGCAAGAAAACAAGTCTGGTGACCCTATTTCTTTCTTTTTCTTATCTGAAAGCATGTTATAAGAGTTCTCTTCTCACATTTTATCTTCAAATTCTATGGTGTAGTTTATTTTTTATCACACAAAATTGGATTTTCCATGCATAATTTACACAAAATCTGACAATTTTGCACAACCTGTAGCGTGAAAAAAAGTCCGGTGACCCATACTTTTTATTATATTTTTGAAAAAAGCTTGATAAAAACTACATTTTGACAAATTATTAAAAAATTCTATGGATTTTAATTAAGACCCCTATCCACCGTAATTGATAAATTTAAAAACACATACCGTTAAAAACCTTCATGATACTTTTACTCTAAATAATCATGATTTTTTTAGTGTGGAAATGTACCCAAGGTAACTTACTTTGAATAAATCTAATATAAACATCAAAATTGTCTTTTTCTAGATATTTCAGTTTCACATGGGAAACTATATACATGTACAAGAATTTACGACAAAAGAGATGTTTTTTCGTCTCCCTTTTTTTAGACGGTGATGTTCCTTTGATCCCTTCTTACGGTGTGTATATTTCACAACTGGTTCGCGATGCCAGTCTCTGTAGTTGCGTTTTGTATTTCAATGAACGTAATTCATGCAGAACTGATAAATTATTCAGTCAGGAATTCCGTAAATTTAGATACGATCCATGAAGACATGGTCCTTGGAATAAACTTATTCTTAAAGGTTATCAAATTAACATAGTAGTAAAATCTTGTAATCTTGTTTTGTACTAACATTGATTTTGTTTTTATGAATTAAAACATAACTATATATAGATTGCTTTATATTTACAGCCATGAGAACTCATGAATCAACATCATGTTGATACCGTTTACTTATATTTTTGCTTTGAACAAGGTCATGTGTTTATCACACTTTTTATGACGTCCTTCCACTAAATCCGTTGCATGTGTACTGATTGATACTGTAGTCTGAAACATGATTCGTTGTAAGTGGCTTTGGACTAGCTTTCAGTAAGTACGACTAATCTTATTTGGTGCTTTGTGTCTATTGTATTTATGATAGTTGGTTTATTTGTGCTTCAAGCCGATTTATTGGTTAAGCCATTTGCAACTGATTTTTATAGTTTGGTCTTATGTTGTGTTGTTACACCACTGTCCCAGGTTAGGGAAGGGTAGAGCGCTCACACACATTTTTAATCCCAACCACATTCTTTATGTGCCTGTGCCAAGTTAGGAGCCTGTAATTCAGTGGTTGTCGTTCATGTCTGTCGTATTTGTTTTTCGTAAATTGTATTGCATATATTAGGCCGTTAGTTTTCTCGTTTGAATTGTTTCACATTTGTCCTTTGGATCTTTTTTTAGCTTACCATACGGAATGGGGTTTTCTCATTGTTGAAGGCCGTACGGTGACCTAATATATGATTGATTCTATCTTCGTCATTTGAACTCTGGTGTTTAGTTGTCATCTTCTTATTTTTATACAGATTATATCCTTTCCTGTCGGAAAATTTCATTTCATGCGGCCTCTACGTATGTATAGATACTTATGTATGTGAAATATCGCATAGAAGATGATACAGTTAAAACAGAACGAACTATAGTTGTTCACGGTAAAGTTCCAAATGTCATATCAACAAATGAAAAGAAAATAATAAAAAAAAATTGAAATTTTAATTAAACTTATTATAGGTACCAGGATTAAAATATTAAAATTAAAATAGCAAATTGCCTATTAATATAATTTGATCTGACAAAGAAATGGTAAAAGATACATTACAATACCTACTAAGTCAACAGTTGTAACTCTAACAGAACTAGGGGCTTATATTGAAGTATTCTCTGTCGTTTTGTGAACATGATATGATTCGGAGACATTCACCTCACCTACATATATATCTTTCCTATCATTTAACCTTACACATCAAAGGTAAATCGAGACATATTCATATCATAAATACATTGTATCACTAGCCCTTATGTAAATGCTTAAGATATTGGTAATGGTAGAACAGAGGTCTAACTTTAAATAGATAGAATTTGTTAAAATTTTGACAAAATGTTGTTTTTATCATATTGTTTTTTTTAAATATAATAAGTATGGGTCACGTAGCTTTTTTTCAAGGTTATGCAAATTTGTCAGATTTTGTATAGATTATACATTGAGAAACCGATTTTGTGCGAAAGAAAGACAACTAAACGATAGAATTAAAGGATAAAATATTAGAAAATAATCTTATACTGTTTATTTATCAAATAAAAATAAAAAAAATGGGGTCACTGATTAAGTTTTATTGCTAAAAAACAAAATAGGTAAATTCCCTGCATCCAAATTTTTTTTATAAAAGTAAGGTTATCTGAGTTACCTCCCTTATATGGCAAAATCAAAAAGAATTGAATCATACAAAACTGTTCCATATTTTGTTTTAAAGCAGTCGTAGTAGTAAAGTAAAACACATACATAATTTTCTTCATTTGTGTGTGAAGTAATACAATTTAATTACATTACTCTCTCAAAACTTGTGTATTTTATTAAGAATCTAGACCGATTGTTTTATCTATTTTACAATCCAAGATGGCCGAAGATATCCGACCTATATCAATTTAATGTCTGATGTTGAAAGTTAATTAGAAGTTCAGGATGCATTTGAAGTTAATTTTGTGTGATCACTTTTACTTTATATTTATATTAAATTAAAAATAGCATACTTGGTAGGCTGATCTGAACTTAATGAAGTAAATCATCCATGGGATGTGATCACGAATTATTTGGAAACATTTGATAATCTTGATTTTAACGAATAGAAAGAAAAGCCCGTTTGAAATAAATGTATGCGTAAATATGTTTACATTTTTTAAGTCTTTGGAATTTCACTCTGGGATACCATGATATCAATGCATTTATTACTTTTTTAGACTTTTGCTGATATCAGCACATTGGTTTGCATATGCCGTCATATTTCATATAGGTTAGACGAAGAAAAAATCAAATTCATGCCATTAAGGGGAAATTAATTCAGTCTAGCTTTTTCTTTATTATACCGTTATTTAAGACTTGTATTGTATATAAAAAAATTAGGAGATCTAAGCAGTGGCAGAACCAGGGGGTGTTTCCGGGGGTTGGAACCCCCCTTTATTTGACGATCAATGCTAAGAGTACTCGCATGTTGGTTATGTACCCTAGTCCAATGATCAAGATAAAAAGGGATGCTTGGTCATGATTGAGATCTAAACACACTTGTTTAACCTCGCTACATATTCATGTACCAGTATCTAGTCAAAAACCTGGTCAGACGTTGTCTTACATGCATATCATAGTGATTTTGTTATTGTAGAGTTTGGCGTTGATTTTTGTTTTACGATTTTTATTTAATCTATTCACAGTTTTTTTTTTAGATTCGTGACGAGTATTAGCATGACGAACTGCAAAGACACGTGTCTATTGATGATGAACTTATGTTGACCTCTATTGATACAGTTTTAGGTAATTAGTATTGGTTGTTGTTACTGTTGTCTCATTGCAGTGCACTAGTATACCACACACCTCCCTTTATTCATAATTCATGCAACTGATCAAAACACACAAGTTCATGAATATTCAAGAAAACATTTTAGATGACTAAAGACTCCATATAACCATTCATGTTTCTGAATGTATGTTGATGTTACTGTGATATACTCTGAAAACATGTGTTTCGTTTTTATAGTCTCATGTCTCTATACTGTTGGATTAAAATGTAAGAAAACATGTATTTAATAGTACTAAATTATTATTATTATGATACCAAACAGTAGTACAAAAGCTATACTATTATGTAAAATTACAGAAAATCTTAAGGTTACACACATATATTTTGTTACGATATCAACATATACTATATTTACAGAAGAATAAGATACAGTAAAACAATTGTAAATAAATAAAAGAAAGGTAACTCAATCGACAATAATTACTGCCTTGAGCATGTTGAGATAAACAGATAAATATGTGCCATACAGAGATTACACTTTTGGCTGTATTAATACTTTACTCCATCTATAGCAAAGACGTAGGATAATAGATAAACACTTTAGACCATCCAAGAATGATTACGTTGAAGCTTGTTTCCTGTCCCAGCAGTGTCTTCAGATAATTTGTTTTGAAATGTTTTATCAACGGACGAACGACAAGTGACGAGATAAGACTTACATATTCCTTTGTATTAAGTAAGGTACATGTAATACTATTTCATGCAAAAAATGCCCACATAAATATTCCAATACACATTAACAGTAATGCATTTAAATTAACAAACAATTTCCAATTAGGATCCTCTTTAATGTGTGTCAACAGTCTTATCTGTTCTAATTTTTCTTCTTCTGTCCGTGTTATTTCTTTTGGCTTCTCATATCCACATATCATATAAACTACCTTTCGCCACGTGGGTATTTCTTCTACAAATTTTAGAAGAAATTATAATATCATATTTGCAATCTATTTTTAAAAGACTCGTGTTGAATGCCATTTTAACTACAATAATCCCTAGAGCGCAACTGATGAGTCTTATGTAGATAGGTACAAAAGAATCCGATAGAGAGAAAAATATGGACCAATGCGCACCTATAACTTTAAAAAAAAAGTATACTATTGTTATATATAAACCAATTAAATACAAATGGGTATGACTACGGATTACTATAACTATATTTCTTTCAATCTTATTTGAAATTGATATATATATATTTGTAAATTGTAAAATTTCAATGTTTATACGGAAAGAATCTTATTTGTTATGATGATTATGTCAACAGGAATCAAGTGTAATGAAATATACCTGTCGTGTGTTTCTTTGATGCTTGGCTCGTTTTAAGGCGTTCGGACTTCTCTTCCCATAATATCTCTTCAGGATATGGTTCTCGTGTGAGGGTACTATGACGTGACCACCATGTTAACCTGATTAGCTGGAACACCGAAAGTATCGTAAGAAAATAAAGTAAAAGTTTTTTTTTTTAATCCATACAAAGTCTTTTTCACAGTTTATTGTTTGTGTTGCTCAGTCTTTAGTTTTTTATGTTGTGTTTTGTATACTATTGTTGTCTTCTGACCGTTTTCCTTTTTTTGCTAACGCGTTGTCAGTTTAGTTTCGACTTGTGAGTTTGAATGTCCTTTCGGTATCTTTCTATTGCAATGATTATTATAAAGTTAATGTTGAACGACTTTATTATTTATTTTGAACTCAGTGTGTCGAGTTTTGTATTACACACAATGCATTGTATAACTGCGAAATGCAAAACGCAATACATTGATAAAAATTACAACTTAATTGCTTTTATATTTTCTACAAAGTAGATACATGAAAGCATTTTCCGAGATAGCAAGTTGTAACTTCAAGATAACTACTTTTTATATTTGATTAAACAGTCATTCCACAAAACTTACATGTTTTTCGTCTACGGGCTTCGTTACCAGGGAAACAACAATAGTTACAAGCATACTGAAGAAAAACAGAAATATAGTGAAATGAAGAAAATGAACTTTTGATATAACAGTTGGTCTTGTATCTTCTTCGCCACATTTTGGTGAGCCATATCCAAAGTCTAATCCCATGCGTACTAATCCGACAATCAATCCACATATTGATCCCCAAAACGCTCCCTACAATATTAAATAATTAAAAGTTTTACAGATTTTTCCCTGTTCGAACAAAACATAGTTTATATAAAAAGTTACTAGCAATCGTTAGAACAATTTCAAATTCATTATTATAGTTTGCAGAAACAACTTATTTGAATTGTTGTAACTCGTTTTTTCTCGATCTGAATATGCATGACATATATTGTACTAGACGTAAGCAAACCAACAATCAATCATCCAAGCAACTTGCGGATAGTGATGGAAGCCATTGCTGGGGACCTCGCTAGAGAACACCATAAAATTAAAATGCGAATCAGAAGTTATCATGGTTATTCGATTCAAACATAGCTATTACCAACGAAAGACCCATTTCCACAGAGAGGGCTAAGTTGCATGGACTTGCATGTTTTGACCATGGCTTTCACTTTATGGTATGTGTCCTTGTACGCGATATACCTTCTAGTTGTGAATAATCATACCAAGTTTCATTACCCAGCTCCAAGGGGTTTGAAAGTAAGAGAGCGGGAATGTTTATGTATATTGCATAGGGGTGACTACATTGAACTAAGAAGTTGACCAAGACTTGCACTGTACGGTATTTTCCCAATTTACACAACATAACTTCTAGTTGTGATGAATAATCTTGTCATGTTTTATTCCCAAACTTTCAGAAGTTTCAACGCCAGAGAGCAAAAACGATTTTTTGAAAATATGCACAACGGTTACTATAAAATTAAACTAAGTTTTTGACATCGACTTTCACTGTAAAGTGTTTTCCTATACGCATTCTGCCTTTCCATTTTTCAAGAACAAACCCAAAAGGTTTGAATTTTAGAGAAAAAAAGAAATATGTCCGGTAACTAATGAAACATTAGAAACATGACACAACTGGTATATAACGTCAGATGGAAAGGTTTGTTAAACATTAGAAACATGACAAAACTGGTATATAACGTCAGATGCATGGAAAGGTTTGTTAAACATTAGAAAGATGACAAAACTGGTATATAACGTCAGATGGAAAAGACTGTTCAACATTAGAAACATGACAAAACTGGTATATAACGTCAGATGGAAAGGTTTGTTAAACATTAGAAACATGAAAAAACTGGTATATAACGTCAGATGGAAAAGATTGTTCAACATTAGAAACATGACAAACTGGTATATAACATCAGATGGAAAGGTTTGTTCAACATTAGAAACATAACAAAACTGGTATATAACGTCAGATGGAAAGGTTTGTTAAACATTAGAAACATGACAAAACTGGTATATAACGTCAAATGGAAAGGATTATTAAACATTAGAAACATGACAAAACTGGTATATAACGTCAGATGGAAAAGATTGTTCAACATTAGAAACATGACAAAACTGGTATATAACGTCAGATGGAAAACATGACAAAACTGGTCTGTAACGTCAGATGGAAAACATGACAAAACTGGTCTATAACGTCAGATGAAAAAAACATGACAAAACTGGTAAATAACGGCAGATGGAAAAGTTAGTAAAACGAAATTAAGTATCTTTTAAAGATATTAATAATAAATAACCTTTTCATTGGTTCTTTTCCACAACATGGCCAATAGGAAGAGCGATAACACTGGCGGTGCGAGGTATCCTGTTACGGATTGAATGTAATTAAAGAGTTGTCCCCCTTGAGATGCTTGTAACACGGGAATCCATATTATGCTTATTACCACCAGAGCAATAATGAATATTCTGAAAATATAGAAATATATTTATTTTTTTAAATAGGCTATATTTATTCACTATAAAATGAATTTATATGGTTTGTACTAAATGGTTATCTATCTATAGTGGCTTCAAAACCTTAAAAATAAAACCGAGTATGATAGAAAGACAAAAGTTACTAAGTGTTAATTACAAAGAATAGTTAAATCATTTCAGAAGATTTTTATGTTATAATAGTGTTTTAAAACTATACTAACTATTATTTTATACATGCACATATGAACACGCACGGTACTACAATCTGTCGATACCTATATTTTGGCAGTGCACAAGGTCATGTTTTTCTCTGACTGTTAATGACGTCTTTACACTGAACCAACAGAATGTTTGATGTGCACTGATTGATATTTTAGTCTTAGATACATGATTTTTTATTAGTAGTTATTCGCTTTGAACTAGCTGTCAGTAACTGCGAGTACTCTTAGATTTGCACTAGGGATATATAAATACACTGCCACTTTTTTGTTTGATGTTTTTCTGCTTTGTAGCGATCTGATGAGTTAAGCCCTATTCAACTGATTTTTATAGTTTGTTCTTATGTTGTACTGTTAAATTTTTTGTACACCACTGTCCCAAGGTTCATGTTTGTCATATTTGTTTTTCGTAAATTGTTTGTTATAAATTAGGCCGTTAGTTTTCTCAATTGAATTGTTTCATATTTTTCATGTCGGGGCCTTTTATAAATAGCCAACTATACGGTATGGGGTTTTCTCATTGTAAATGGCCGTCCGCGATTGCATATCATTGCTTACATCCACTTCATTTGAACGTTGGTGGATAGTTGTCTCATTGGCAATCATACCATATCTCCTAATCATTATATATTAGTGGAATACATTTACAAACCATTTAAACCATTATTTTCAACAATTAAATAGTACATAATCAATTTAAATTAATTTGGTTTTCGGCATTATTTTTTTTATATGGGTCTTATATAAATCCACTGATAAAGCATAGATTCCTTCTTATTTCAATATGATGCACCTCTTCTGTCTTTTCTCGCAAGAGAGAAGCCGGAAAAAAATGACGAAATAATTTTTTTTGTACCTATTTATGCAATAATGAATTTCCTTTTGAAGATTAGTTGCAGTATTTCCGTTATGTAGGTCAAATTAACCGACTCCCAGAAAGAATAACGAGGAGACGGGTATCAATACAACCTATCGCTATTTGTCCGCCATTACTGAACATAACAAAGGTTCCGGTAAAGTTTTGACGTCACAAGAGAAAATGTCTAACGCCACAAAGGAACATTGATTGTTGTATGACGTCAATAGTTTAAGTGTCGCAAGCTCTCAGTCAAGTGTCGCAGATTCCTAAATAGCGATAAGGTCTATTAACATAGTGTACACATGAATCATGAAATCATGGATACATTACCTCCCAACAACTAGCAATTCCCCATCAGAAGCTCCTGCTCTAATACGCTTCCATATATCCATTGTAAATATAGTACTTGAACTGTTAAACACTGATGTGAGAGAACTCATTAAAGCAGCCATCATGGCCGCTAACATAAGTCCGCGTAGTCCTACAATATAATTAAAATTATCAATATATCGAGACATCTAAGTACTACGTTCACATAAGGCAGGTTACTTTGTCTATAATGTAAGAACTGTCTGTCGCTAAATATTGAGTCACCTCAACCGCTTTTTAAAAATACAGTTAACTGATAACATGGATTCATTGTAACTTTAAGCATATTCTTCGTGTATAACATGGTAACTGACGGAAGACACTGTAATTGTAAACAAAATGGCTGCAGACGAGATACGAATTATAATACTACATTACCTTAACTGATGGCATTAATTATTAGCATTAAATGACATTTCTGATAAAAAAAAATCGGAACTGAATGGACATTCTTTATCAATACCCCTTTTCGAAACTTTATAAAGTTCACGTTCCCAATAATGTTTGTTTTCAAGATCAATATTTAACCATAGTACTAATCAACTCTCGAACTAATATTCTTTGCATACATTTGAATTTACCGACTTGAATGATTACGATATTATTCATTATGTGAAAATAAATATCAAAATGAATAATAGAATAGATCTATATACTAGTCTACCTTCAGGCATTAATTCAACAACAAGCTTAGGATAAGCTATGTTAGTACAGCCTGCTGCATTGTCACAAACTATCTTACATACTGCTGGATCTACGCATGCAATCTGATCTGAAATGTAACAATATATCAGTCACACAGCTGATTTTACACATGTGATAGGATATGAAATGTTGTAAAACTATCTTACATACAGCTTGATCTACACATGCAATCTGATCGAAAGTGAAACATACCATCTTTCATACAGATGGATCTACGCAGAAATAAGTTCTAAAATGTAATAAAAATATATTAAGTACAGCTGTATCTACGCAGGACTGAAAATCTGATCTAAAATGTTATAAAATTATCTTACATACAGCCGGATCTACTCAGGAAACCTGATCTGAATTTTTATAAAATTATTTTACATATAGCTTGATCTACGCACGCAATCTGATCTGAAATGTTATAAAATTATCTTATATACAGCTGGATCTACTCAGGTAATATGATCTGAAATGTAAGTAATTTACTTGCATACATCTAACTTACACGGGCAATCTTATCTGAAATCCATAAACTATTTTACATACAACTGGCTCCGAATCTACACATGCAATCTGATATGAAATGTTCTAAACTATATTTCATACAGGTACACATGAACTTTGATTCCAAAATGTAATAACTTATCTTATATAGAGCGTGATCCACATACATGTATGCTATATGATCTGAAATGTAGCACACTGTCGTACAGTTGAATCTACGCAAGCAATATGACATGAAATGGAATAAAGTATCTCCTGTTTTATCGTAGAGTCAATCATCAAGATACCTACGAGTCAAAATTTGTATCTTTTCGATATCCCCTAACACATCCGGTAATGCTGCATTTAATTAGATATGTTTTGTAAAGTTGTAATGAAGATAACAGTTTCCCTCGTGACATGCTTTTGCGTATGTAAATTAAACAAATCAAAATAAATACATAAGTCAAAATACTAATGATAATAAATAAACAACTTTGAATAATTACCCGTGTACAAAATTCTACTAATCATTCCTGGAAACACTGTTGTGAACAATGGCAAAATTTTCAAATACGCTGCTAATATCGATCCTCCTTTAACATGATGCATGTTTTTCGCTGCCAGAGATCTTTGTACAAGAACCTAAATTTATATTATCAAAAGTGTTAGTACTAGTAAGAACAGAATAGACTATATCAAAACAGTTATTACATCGATAAAAACTGAAGTACTTAGACAAATAGAGAAGAAACAGGAATCGTTCAGGAAGAATAATCGGCAGAATTCACGAAGGAAGAACAACTGGCAGAAATCAACGAGGAAGGAGAATCGACGGAAATAGATGAGGAAGGTATGTAGTCTAGATCGCAGAGGAAGGAGAAGAGATATAAAAGTTTGTGGATGGATATCCGACAGAAACAGCTGAGATAGGAGAAAGGAGATCCGACAGAAACAGCTGAGATAGGAGAAATTAGCAAAAATCAATAGAGAAGGAGGATTGGCAGAAATCGGCGAGGAGGAGAATCAACATATATAGCCAAGGAAAGATAACATAAATTGACGAGGAGGAGAATCAACATATATAGCCAAGGAAAGATAACATAAATCGGCGAGGAGGAGAATCAACATATATAGCCAAGGAAAGATAACATAAATATCGGCGAGGAGGAGAATCAACATATATAGCCAAGGAAAGATAACTTAAATCGGCGAGGAGGAGAATCAACATATATAGCCAAGGAAAGATAACATAAATATCGGCGAGGAGGAGAATCAACATATATAGCCAAGGAAAGATAACTTAAATCGGCGAGGAGGAGAATCAACATATATAGCCAAGGAAAGATAACATAAATCGGCGAGGAGGAGAATCAACATATATAGCCAAGGAAAGATAACTTAAATCGGCGAGGAGGAGAATCAACATATATAGCCAAGGAAAGATAACATAAATATCGGAGAGGAGGAGAATCAACATATATAGCCAAGGAAAGATAACATAAATATCGGCGAGGAGGAGAATCAACATATATAGCCAAGGAAAGATAACTTAAATCGGCGAGGAGGAGAATCAACATATATAGCCAAGGAAAGATAACTTAAATCGGCGAGGAGGAGAATCAACATATATAGCCAAGGAAAGATAACATAAATCGGCGAGGAGGAGAATCAACATATATAGCCAAGGAAAGATAACATAAATATCGGCGAGGAGGAGAATCAACATATATAGCCAAGGAAAGATAACATAAATATCGGCGAGGAGGAGAATCAACATATATAGCCAAGGAAAGATAACTTAAATCGGCGAGGAGGAGAATCAACATATATAGCCAAGGAAAAATAACTTAAATCGGCGAGGAGGAGAATCAACATATATAGCCAAGGAAAGATAACTTAAATCGGCGAGGAGGAGAATCAACATATATAGCCAAAGAAAGATAACTTAAATCGGCGAGGAGGAGAATCAACAAATATAGCCAAAGAAAGATAACATAAATTGACGAATAAATTGCTGACGAAGACGGATCGACACCAATCTGTTAGGAAGAAGAACAGACAGAAACCGAGGAAGAAAAGACTTGACGTAAAATACAACAAGTATAACAGGCAAAAACAATACTAGTACTGTCAACTAATGTTCGTTCATCTGAAAGACATCAGAAGAGTCGACTAATCACACACATTTATTTGTTTACAAATGTCTTATCAAAGTAATATGCTTTCGTAATATATATAGAAATATTTTTACATTCGAGTTGTCGACCGCTGATCTGTTGTTGATTCTAAACGGAAATAAAACCTTTATAGAAACACGTGATCTGTAGTATTTTGATCCAGATTTATGAACAAATCTTTATTTTAATAGCAGTCACGTGAGACAATTAAAAGAAAAATCATTTGGCGAAGATAACCCACCACCAAAAGCCAATAATGACAGTGCGTAGGGCTGCAAAACTCATACTTGTTCAAAAATCTCTTTTGTAAAACATGTTTAATTGGCTAATTTGATCAGGCCAAACAAAAATTTGTTTAGTATAATATTGCAATGTCGAAACGATCGGGAAAGCGTTATGCTAATCTGCTTTCATATGTATTCACAAATAACTATCTTCAGTGTAAAATATGTTATATCTTACTAACATATAGAATAACATCTTTCTGAAGGTTAATGCATTCCTAGAAATAGAGGTTAATTCAGCTGTTGGAAAACTTATCTTGCTAAAGATCTATATGCATCCAACTCTGCACATTTATTATGGACATGATATCTTTTGTCATTGTTTACATTTCAACATTTTATTTAATTTCGTACCTGGTCTGAACAGAAGTACCAACAGCTCAGTATAGAAATGCCAAAAACATTTCCTGGCCAAGGAATGTCTCCTGTTACAGCATCTCGTAGTAAATGAAAAGCTTCGTCAGTAGGATGACCACAGGTAGAATTATCGATAAGAGGCGATGGTAATGCCTCGGGATACAGTACGTATATCTTCTCCAGCCCACCAACTTTGATAAATGCTACGGAAGAAGTTGAGTAATCTTTGTATTGTGTATTTTACATCGCGATGAAACATTCTCTGTCTCAAACATATTTGTCTTAGGTACATATAACAAGGCTTAGATGTGCCGTTATATACAATGTAGTACTTTCATCAAGAAATTGACAATGAAGGTCGATTAAGAACTAAACTTTACAGAGTTGATATCAACATATTAGCAATACCTAAATATCGAGCATATATGTACCAGTTGACACGATACTGCAGAGTTTGCGTTTCAAATAATAATTCCATTGAAAGAGATTTGCTACTTACAAGGAAGCGATTCAACAATGGGTTCCTGGTGGTAAAGTTGGTATTCGGTTTTGAGCGTGCCTGATGAAGGTTAATCCAGAAAAGCGCTTCAGTCTCAAGTTTGCTGTGTTGTATTTTGAAGAATGTTCTCTTTTTTCGATTTTTGGCATGGTGTTGTCATTTAAAAACAAATTTATTTCCCTTTGTTATCTTCTGTTAATCTTTTGTTAAGCTAGTATTTTGAAAAAAGTTCTTAAGGTTTGAAAAATAATGAAGTGTGAATGATGAGATAACGTTTATTAATAAAACACGTCATACTACATGTGCAAATGTACAAAAAAAGAATTGTGATTTTACAAAAAAGATGTACCTACCTAGCACCATAAGAACGATAGCTCCAGCAACCATGATGACAGTCTGAAGAGTATCCGTATATATAACAGCTTTTAGTCCACCTACAAGTGATAACAAGTCCTGGTACATATATCGTTTCGTTAATACACAAGTTCAGTTAAAAAGAAAAACTATTTTAAAGCAATTTGGAGTTACAAAATGTCAAAAACGGAATGAATTACAGACCATGTAACGATGAACAAGATTGTAATAACCTGAACAAATCTATAACGTTAAGACAATTTTCAGACATCAATTGTTTTTTTTTCACCTATATTTTTTTAGAAAAATAATAAAACTTTAGATAAAAAAACATCTTAATATCCGAAACTATATCCATACCCGAAATTGTATAAATAGCTGAAATAGCCAACAGTACTATAACACCGGTATAAAGATCCCATCCTACTGCTTGTTGTATGAATATTGAACCTGCATACATATCTACCTGTAATGTGAACATAAATTTGTGCTGAAAAGTCGTTATTACTTCATTGAATGTGTTCGGTCTCTGACAATCCGATAGTCAAATTTTCATATTTCAAAATAATACACACAATGTTTATTTTCTGTTATGCTTTCGATTCGTTTTCAACATTTATATAATTCTTATTGTAGGTAGTGGAGATTGGAACTGTCACTAATTATTTTTCAAAGAAATTCACATTCTCTCTATATATATAGCTACATACAAAACATTTTTCAGTTTTTGGAGTAGATCACAAGAAGACAATCAGAGAATTTATCCACTAGTAGCACTGTCTTTATGGTCTGAAACGATTACTTACAGATATTTTTGTGAAGACGTATATAATAAGAGACAGCACAGACATGTACACCTGAAGTCTTTGTCCCCCAAAGCGTTTCTTCAGATATTCTGGTAAGGTGAACACCTGTAAATGAAATAAACACCAAATTTCTTGATAAACTTGGTGGTCTGTAAAAGTAGGCTACTATTATGTAGGAATAGTAGCTGAATGACCTTTAATCTTGGTAAAGTTATTGGTTCTTTTTCGACCTTTTGATTTGTTTTGAAAATTTGAGATGAAGAATAGCGCGTTTCCTTTGTGTTGGATTTTTCAAGTGTGTGAATTATTTGTCTTAACTATAAGTGCACCAATTCCGTTATTTGCAACTGCAGTTACTGTTTATTTAATAATGGGGTCAAATAATATTAAAAAATAATAAAACAGTTAACTTTTTTCTTTACATAAGTAAAATGAAGGTTTTAAACATAATTAAGGGGTATTTTATTATATATTTAAACAATGGGGTCAAATAATATTAAAAAATAATAAAACAGTTAACTTTTTTCTTTACATAAGTAAAATGAAGGTTTTAAACATAATTAAGGGGTATTTTATTGTATATTTAAACAATGGGGTCAAATAATATTAAAAAATAACAAAACAGTTAACTTTTTTCTTTACATAAGTAAAATGAAGGTTTTAAACATAATTAAGGGGTGTTAAACTAATATATAGTTTCTTATAAAACATGCGTACAGTACAACTTCACTGTAAATATACCTGACGCCTGACGCGTCCGGACGCGTTCCAAATTTGTACACCTAATGTTCAATATTTTAACGTCATATGTTCATGCTTAGAGACGTGTTCAACGTTTTAACGTTTGTGTTAAAAATATTAACATATGTGTTCAGACGCAGTGAACACCGGTGTTCAAATTCTGATCTAAAAAAGAAGACAGTCGTTTGTCCGATTTTCTATCCTTCCAATTGGCAAATTCAAAAAGAAATTCTTTAAAAAATATGAATGTATACGCAGGATGATGATCTTGTGAATTTTTGGCTAATATTTTAGAAATTGTGAAATATTAAACTTCCAAGCTGGCATATATGTATAGTTTATGAATTTATTTTATTATTTATTTATATATACTAGTTTTACTTATAAGTGACATAATTATGCATATCAATGAGGCCTGTTATGATAATATCGTAATAAAAATATGTCGATGTTTATCTTATTTCATGATCCGTTCATTTTATTAACATTACATGTTCAATCAGTGTTCAAATCGCTCGAAATTTTGAACACCTCGTGTTAAAAAAAATATACCAGGATACCAAATACCGGAAACAGATATCGGCTTGCGATTTGGCGGTTAAACGAAGAATGGATACACATAAGAAAGAGAACTGGAGAAGGGACTTCTATCCCATATGAACACGAAAGAAGTAAGTAACAAGTTAGAATAATCTCCATATGTAGTTCGATGGCTTCCTTGTTATTTTCTCATGCCAGATATATATTTGTCAAATATTCATAACTGTTATATCCAAATTTTCTATCAACATAAAAGACGAATTAAAAAACGGGCTTTAGATATAAACGTAAATAACTGTCAGCTTTGTTCTGATGATTTCCTAAACTGATGAATAAACAGTCTGTCTGTTATACAGAATAAATGATGATTTTCGACATACATACATTAGCTGAACACTAAGTGTTAAGAACTCTAACATCAAGTGTTAAAAAATGAAACACAAAGGCATTAAAAACTGAACACCACACATTCAATTGATGAACACTAAGTGTTAAGAACTCTAACATCAAGTGTTCAAAAATGAAACACAAAGGCATTAAAAACTGAACACCACACATTCAATTGATGAACACTAGTGCAAACATTTGGAACACCATTTTTGACTTAGAAAATGCATTTGTTTTTTTATTTGCAGGAATCGTTAGATTAAAATGTTTGAATTAGGAACCGGTAGCCAATAATCCCAAAAAGGTCATTTCTGCATGCTATAAAGTGGTGGAAAAAAGAAAGATGTCGAAAAAAGGTATGACAATATATGTATATTAATAGCTTATGTGGGTGTATCATTTCTATCTGTTCACCTTAGGTCAAGAAATCGACTTTTGTAATTTATAATGTCAAAACTTGCATTTCATTGCTATAGAATATCAATGTGTACACTAGTATATATCGACATTAAAGCATAACAAGCATTGCATAATTTGATGCTTTATGAAAAACTCTCTTCTATTAATTTTTAATTTTATTTTGCAGGATATATAGGCTCATAGACATTCCTTGTTGTGGAGGATTTTGACATTGGAAGTTGATAATAACACATAAAATGCCACCCAGTTGATAGCTTTAAGTGAAGATGCACTGAAAAGTGGAGCGTACATTGTATGTGATCGTACAAGAACTGTTGGAATTTGCAAACTTTTAAACTTTCATTGTGACAAATACCTATATCATAAACTATCTAATTATCACATTGACATGCTTTTTTGGTTAGGATACAAATGATGTTGCAACTATCTAGTCATGTAGGGGAAAATCATTATTTGTTATATATATTTAAGTCGGTTTAAAAACATTATGTATGTGATTTCATTGACTGTTACTTGTGATATCATAAGGTATATGGTGTACTTTTCTTACATATAATATGCTCATTTGATTACATAAAGAATTACTTGCTAAAATATGTTTTATTGTTATATTTTGCCTGATTGAATATAGTTTTTATAACAGTTTATTTAAGTTGAGTACTTATGGAAAATTATGTACGCTTGAAAATAGAACATGTTCCACATTTGAACACCATCACTTTGAACACTTATGTCAACTGTTCTGAAAGTTAACGTTTGGTGTTCTGAATCTTAACACTTTGGCTTTAAACATGTTCTGTGTGTTCAAAAAGTGTTACATGGCTGTTGAACGCGTCGACGTATTAAGATTTTGAACATTCGGACACGTTAAATCGTTGAACACTAAGTGTTAAGAACTTTAACATCAAGTGTTCAAAAATGAAACACAAAGGCATTAAAAACTGAACACCACACATTCAATTGATGAACACTAGTGTAAACATTTGGAACACCATTACACGTTCAAAAAGTGTTACAAAAAAGCGTTCAAGCAGTGTTCTATTTATTAACACTTAGATTTACAGTGTTGATGATTTTGATAGATAGCATATGGACAAGTTTTGAAACATGATTGCATTACACTGTAGTAGTATCTATATTATAATGGTTATTCTAGTCAAATATGATTTCTAAGTTATGGCCTTTCTAATATACCATTATTTTTCAGTGGCAGTGCTTATTTTCCGACCTTCATCCCGGTCCCCCTATGCAGAACCTACTGTTAATTTGTTCTATATATGCACGAAGTAATTAGCACAGGGCATTTAGCAAGCAACAATCATTCAATCATACTATCAATACTTACCCCACTGGCTATATAAACAGGAACAAATAACCATCCTAGCAACAGCAAGCAAAATAAACCCTGCGAACAAAAACAAATTGATAAACTTTTTTGTTTCAATTTTTAACTACATTGTCTTTTAGCATTGGCTTTATATATATATATTTATAGATGATACAAGTGTGGACACAGATCAGTGTGGATAGTATGTTTGGATGTTTGACGGTGTTTTCTGACAAAAAGAGTTCTCTGGGTTTTCTCCATAGGGTTCTATGTTGAACTGATGTGCACAGTGACAGCCAACCTGTACCAAACACTGAAAATAGCAGTGTCTTTTATTTAATATTGAGTTTTAATGTTCAAGACTGTCATGGAGCAGACACTGATTTAAATAAGTGCCGACTGTTCATAGATTTTATTTAGCTAGACATTGCTTTTAATATCAAATTTACATATTGGCCAACATACTATGAGTGCTTCGTGTATATAATTTGTTCATTACTGTAAATAGATTTTGTGCATGTGCAACGTTCCATTGGAGGATTTCCTTTCAACATTTTAACTTTGAAATAACTTCTATGTGAATACATTAACATTTTTAATAAATGGGGAACGTGCCCATGGGACACAGATGATGTCCCCGCTTGCATATCATATAAAATTATAAAGGGACATAACTGAAGAACGGTAAAAGTGACACTACCCAAATTTGTACTTGATCTGAGTTTTGTGGTAATAAGTATTGTGTATAAGTTTCATAACATTTGGTTGAGGCAAACTTACCCTTCCGGAGCACTTGAGATCACCCCCAGTTTTGGTTGGGTTCGTGTTGCTTAGACTTTTTAAATTAGTTTTCTATGTTATGTCATCTGTACTATTATTTGTCTGTTTGTCTTTTTATTTTGGCCATGGCGTTGTCAGTTTGTTTTCGATTTATGAGTTTGAATGTCCCTCTGGTATCTTTCGTCCCTCTTTTAAGTAAAAGAACGGAAACGAAAAATTCAGCAATTTTTCTGATTGTAAAGGGGCATTACTCTAGAACAGTAAAAGTGACACCACCAAAATTCAAACTTGATCTGTGTTTTGTGGTAATAAGCATTGTGTATAAGTTTCATAACATTTGGTTGAGGCAAACTAAAGTTAGAGAACGGAAACGAAAAATTCAGCAATTTTTCCATTTGTAAAGGGGCATAACTCTAGAACGGTTAAAGTGACGCCACTAAAATTCAAACTTGATCTGTGTTTTTTAAAGATATCATAACTAGAAGAATACATTTTTGAAATGCACAACAAAGGTTTCAGGATCTTAACATTTACGCAAAGTACATTAACAGCAATAGAACTCTATTAGTTACACAGTGTGCTAGTGACCTAATACGATATATATGGAGTCAGTAAATTCCATATGGGATTAGAGCTTCCTCTCACCCCATATGGAATATACTGACCCCATGTATATCTTTATTAGGTCACTAGCACACTTTGTAACGAATTTATCTTACCGACTATCCTAACATGCGACATTTAGACTAGTGGCCTATCAAAGTGATCAAGTCATCAATATAAAGAACCTACTTCCATTGCTCCATACAAAAACAAATGCCAACAATAACAACTTGTTAGCTTTTAATGTGTTTTCTGCATTTATTTCAATTATCATCATCAATTGCTTCATCTGTTGTCCGGGTGAAACGTTTCAGATTTTTCCTCAACGCTGTGTCTATTTTTATACAGGGACGTAATATCACAACTAACCGTGTATTAAAATTAACCACGCCTACTAACCCATATTAAACATACAGGGTCTTCATGCGGTCGCTTTTAACCAATGGTATTCCTAGAAATGTATAGGAGGTAAGATAAGGTCATATATTTGTGTGTCCGTCTCAAGTCTAGTGAGCGGTTGTCTCTTCATATCTATATTCATTTGCCTGTCTCAAGTCTAGTGAGTGGTTGTCTCTTCATATCTTTATTTATGTACCTGTCTCAAGTCTAGTGAGCGGTTGTCTGTTCATATCTATATTTGTGTGCCTGTCTCAAGTATAGTGAGCGGTTGTCTGTTTATATCTATATTTATTTGCCTGTCTCAGGTCTAGTGAGCAGTTGTCTCTTCTTATCTATATTTATGTGCCTGTCTCAAGTCTAGTGAGCGGTTGTCTCTTCATATCTATATTTATTTGCCTGTCTCAAGTCTAGTGAGCGGTTGTCTATTCATATCTTTATTTATTTGCCTATCTCAAGTCTAGTGAGCGGTTATCTCTTCATATCTATATTTGCCTGTCTCAAATCTAATGAGCAGTTGTGTCTTCATATCTATATTTATGTGCCTGTCTCAAGTCTAGTGAGCGGTTGTCTCTTCATATCTATATTTGTGTGCCTGTCTCAAATTTGGTGAGCGGTTGTCTCTTCATATCTATATTTGTGTGCCTGTCTCTAGTTTAGTGAGCGGTTGTCTCTTCATATCTATATTTATTTGCCTGTCTCAGGTCTAGTGAGCAGTTGTCTCTTCTTATCTATATTTATTTGCCTGTCTCAAGTCTAGTGAGCGGTTGTCTATTCATATCTATATTTATTTGCCTATCTCAAGTCTAGTGAGCGGTTATCTCTTCATATCTATATTTGCCTGTCTCAAATCTAATGAGCAGTTGTCTCTTCATATCTATATTTATGTGCCTGTCTCAAGTCTAGTGAGCGGTTGTCTCTTCATATCTATATTTGTGTGCCTGTTTCAAATTTGGTGAGCGGTTGTCTCTTCATATCTATATTTGTGTGCCTGTCTCAGGTCTAGTGAGCGGTTGTCTCTTCATATCTATATTTATGTGCATGTCACAAGTCTAGTGAGCGGTTGTCTCTTCATATCTATATTTATGTGCCTGTCTCAAGTATAGTGAGCGGTTGTCTGTTCATATCTTTATTTATTTGCCTGTATCAAGTCTAGTGAGCGGTTGTCTCTTCATTTCTATATTTATTTGCCTGTCTCAAGTCTAGTGAGCGGTTGTCTCTTCATTTCTATATTTATTTTCCTGTCTCAAGTCTAGTAAGCGGTTTTCTATTCATATCTATATTTATTTGCCTGTCTCAAGCCTAGTGAGCGATTGTCTCTTCATTTCTATATTTATTTGCCTGTCACAAGTCTAGTGAGCGGTTGTCTCTTCATATCTATATTTATTTGCCTGTCTCAAGTATAGTGAGCGGTTGTCTGTTCATATCTATATTTATGTGCCTGTCTCAAGTCTAGTGAGCGGTTGTCTCTACATATCTATATTTATTTGCCTGTCTCAAGTATAGTGAGCGGTTGTCTGTTTATATCTATATTTATTTGCCTGTCTCAGGTCTAGTGAGCAGTTGTCTCTTCTTATCTATATTTATGTGCCTGTCTCAAGTCTAGTGAGCGGTTGTCTCTTCATATCTATATTTGTGTGCCTGTCTCAGGTCTAGTGAGCGGTTGTCTCTTCATATCTATATTTGTGTGCCTGTCTCGGGTCTAGTGAGCGGTTGTCTCTTCATATCTATATTTATGTGCATGTCACAAGTCTAGTGAGCGGTTGTCTCTTCATATCTATATTTATGTGCCTGTCTCAAGTATAGTGAGCGGTTGTCTGTTCATATCTTTATTTATTTGCCTGTATCAAGTCTAGTGAGCGGTTGTCTCTTCATTTCTATATTTATTTGCCTGTCTCAAGTCTAGTGAGCGGTTGTCTCTTCATTTCTATATTTATTTTCCTGTCTCAAGTCTAGTAAGAGGTTTTCTATTCATATCTATATTTATTTGCCTGTCTCAAGCCTAGTGAGCGATTGTCTCTTCATTTCTATATTTATTTGCCTGTCACAAGTCTAGTGAGCGGTTGTCTCTTCATATCTACTAGTATATTTATTTGCCTGTCTCAAGTATAGTGAGCGGTTGTCTGTTCATATCTATATTTATGTGCCTGTCTCAAGTCTAGTGAGCGGTTGTCTCTACATATCTATATTTATTTGCCTGTCTCAAGTATAGTGAGCGGTTGTCTGTTTATATCTATATTTATTTGCCTGTCTCAGGTCTAGTGAGCAGTTGTCTCTTCTTATCTATATTTATGTGCCTGTCTCAAGTCTAGTGAGCGGTTGTCTCTTCATATCTATATTTGTGTGCCTGTCTCAGGTCTAGTGAGCGGTTGTCTCTTCATATCTATATTTGTGTGCCTGTCTCGGGTCTAGTGAGCGGTTGTCTCTTCATATCTATATTTATGTGCATGTCACAAGTCTAGTGAGCGGTTGTCTCTTCATATCTATATTTATGTGCCTGTCTCAAGTATAGTGAGCGGTTGTCTGTTCATATCTTTATTTATTTGCCTGTATCAAGTCTAGTGAGCGGTTGTCTCTTCATTTCTATATTTATTTGCCTGTCTCAAGTCTAGTGAGCGGTTGTCTCTTCATTTCTATATTTATTTTCCTGTCTCAAGTCTAGTAAGCGGTTTTCTATTCATATCTTTATTTATTTGCCTGTCTCAAGCCTAGTGAGCGATTGTCTCTTCATTTCTATATTTATTTGCCTGTCACAAGTCTAGTGAGCGGTTGTCTCTTCATATCTATATTTTTTTGCCTGTCTCAAGTATAGTGAGCGGTTGTCTGTTCATATCTATATTTATGTGCCTGTCTCAAGTCTAGTGAGCGGTTGTCTCTACATATCTATATTTATTTGCCTGTCTCAAGTATAGTGAGCGGTTGTCTGTTTATATCTATATTTATGTGCCTGTCTCAAGTCTAGTGAGCGGTTGTCTCTACATATCTATATTTATGTGCCTGTCTCAAGTCTAGTGAGCGGTTGTCTCTACATATCTATATTTATTTGCCTGTCTCAAGTCTAGTGAGCGGTTGTCTCTTCATATCAATATTTATGTGCCTGTCTCAAGTCTAGTGAGCGGTTGTCTATTCAAATCTACATTTATGCGCCTGTCTCAAATCTAGTTAGCGGTTGTCTCTTCATATCGATATTTATTGAGATATTGATGTTGATGCAAGATAGTTGGTGGTCTCTTTTGCTTTCAGTTATAACTTTTTTCGGACGAAGTTCTCGAGAGATATTGGCATATATTTTAAGTGTGTATCTAATTGTGAATGACCAAATGGTTTCCTCTAAATATCTATTTTATTCAACTTGTGTTATTGTTTTGATCACATTCAAGTATACTCCATATCATGTTCAGTCTCTATCATTTCTTGCTTTTGATGTGTAAATAGTGATTTCAAATAGCACATGATAAGGGGGGAACAATCTTTAATGTAAGAACAGTCGGAATAGCCAGAAGTTGCGTCGACAGGTTAAGCAACTTCTATCCCCCATGACTTTCAGATTAATATCCAGTACAAAAGACCAAGACCGGGTGTGGAAGTTGATAAAACCGGTTATAACAAAATATTAACTTAATGAAACCTTACATTGAGTTCGTAACTCGCCACTGCTATACCATTGGCTGCACCGGTTCCTGCCAAACCAACAAAGCTACCACTACCTATGTTACTGGCGAATAAAGAGGCTCCAATCTAGTGATAAATAAAATGATCAAAATATTGTTAACATTGTACTTTAAATTGAAAAGTTGTTTTCAGCAATTGACGTGGCTAAGTTTGTGTTACGAGAATGCCTCCAAAGAGTTCCTAGGACTTTATAGCATTGCAATACGCCAATTGCAGATCAAACCATGCTAAACAGAGAGTCGGAATTCTGTAATGAGTCTGATGAGCTCCCTACACTTTCTCTATATGTGTTTCGACTTTCTGGTTATCTGCTGTCTTAATTGTGTATGGCAACAGTTTAGATATATTTTATCCCCGAGTTAATAAATATTGAATGGGGAAGAAAGGTTTTTGTCTGTCCCGATTTAACGCATTATCTAAACTGTTTGGCCTCGTTCTGATGTCCAAAAAAAACCTTACTCCAATAAAACGATATTGTAGAAATGCTAACACAGGTCAATCTTACAATTGATTTGTTAGAGAAAATAAAAAAGGTTACTTGGAACAAATAAGCTGAAATTTTAAAGATCTTGTAAAGTTTTATATTTGAAACAAACGCCTAGAATAGATCTACGTCGGACTAATTTTTGTACACTTCAACAAACAGTTGGAAGCTAACTTGATGATTGTAATGACTTAGTAGGTTGGTTACTGAATTAAATGCATGCAGATTGGATATTCAAAATGATTCACATGGCTATTGAAATCTTTTTTTTTCTCTCATCAAAATCAATACGAACAGGAGTATGCATAACAGTTCACTCACAGCTAAAAAAAACTTAAATATTCTGAACCCAAAAAGGTTTGATGCAATTTGCAATCATTCAATTGAAAATATTAATCCTGTATTCAAAGACTAAAGATGATTTAAGTTGTACGATCTGATGGTAAATTCGTTGATATTTTTTTCAAAAAGTAAGATTGCAGAACTAACATCAGACAAGTTTAAGCCCTTGTGGTTTTGATCTCCCTATCATTTTAAATATTTAGCTTCCAAAATGTTTTCAGTCTTACGCTTACTCAATGAAAGCTATTTTAAAAACACATCTCTTGTACAGTGGAGATCACTTCTAACCTCTCATTAGAACTGTCAGAATAATCTGTCATAGAACTGTTCTAAACTGTCCTAGAACAGTTCTACCTAGAACAGTTCTACCCTATAACTGTTCTAAGTAGAACTGTCAGAAGCAGTTCTAGGTAGAACTGACCAAATTAGCTCTAGGTAGAACTGTCAGGATCAGTTCTAGGGCAGAACTGTCTAAAACTGTTCTAGGTAGAACTGTCCAAATCAGTTCTAGTCGTAGAACTAACAGCAGAACTGACCAAATCAGTTCTAACCGTAGAACTAACAGCAGAACTGACCAAATCAGTTCTAACCGTAGAACTAACAGCAGAACTGTCCAAATCAGTTCTAACCGTAGAACTGTCAGGATTGAAGAACAGTTCTAAATGACGTCACTGCAGTTAGAGAAATGTTAAAACAGTGCTGTGATGAGAATTTTTTAATATATATTATATTCTTTTGACTTATTTATATTTAAGACAAAGAGTTCTTAAAACTGTTCTATGGATAGAACTGACTAAATCAATTCTAGCCGTAGAACTGACCAAATCAGTTCTAATCGTAGAACTGTTCTAGTCGTAGAACTGTTCTAGCCGTAGAATTGTTCTAGTCGTAGAACTGACCAAAGATTTGGTCAGTTCTAGGTAGAACTGTCTAAAACTGTTCTAGGGTAGAACTGTCAGGATCAGTTCTAGGTAGAACTGTCTAAATCAGTTCTAGGTAGAACTGACCAAATCAGTTCTAGGTTAGAACTGTTCTAGCTAGAACTGTCTAAAAGGTGTCAGGATGACAGTTCTACATACTGTCCTAGAACAGTTCTCCTGACAGATTCTGACAGATTTGATGAGAGGTTAGAAGTGATCTACACTGTACATTTAAAAGGGACAATATACTGTTATGTTTACTTTGATCGGCACTGCTGCTGGCTGACCAACAGACTCTAAAGGAAATACAGTAGAGAATGACGAACATGATTCATTCCATTTGTAATGTGTGTATATTTGAATATAATTCATAAATCTAAAGTTGCAATTTTCTGAGTTGGCTATTCTGCCGATGTCAGTTTATTTTATAACTTCCCATTAGTTTTCTGTTACTTTTGTGTCCGAAAACGTTTGGTTCAAGAAAGCCGTATCACATATTATAAAAATAGGAAGAAGTCAATTGTAGTGCAGTTAAGTTTATATGCTGATCTTTTACACGAAGTAACTTGGGAACAAAGGCTATTCATGGCAGATTAAGTATATTCTTACAGTTTTGTTTAATGTTTTTTTTACTTGTAACACACATATTTTTAATTAGCAACAGTCTTAAATAAATGCTACTATTCAAAATCCTAAATTTTATATGAACTGTGTTAGAAGCATTTTTCAACATTCAGCCTCGGGATAGCCCACGACAAAACATTTGATCTTTATGGGCCATAGAAAAAAGAAAACTTTATAATCAATTAAACAAAAAAGGTCAACACACCGTAAGTATATAATGGAAAAAAATATCGCAAACCGCATCTTGAAAATAATTGACGACTTGATAGATATCAAAATTTAGTATAATTGCATTAACAGTACTTATAAACTTTATCATTACATTATATTATGGTATTTATTTTGCTAGGAAAGATGAGAATACAAAATTCTGTTTCATTAATGGCGGGATAAAACATTTGAACTGCAAGTTACAATCAATCTCAATACAGAATAGTACTTACTGTGACCCAGATCATATCCCTTCCTGCCAGAAAATATCCACTTATACTGCCTCTTTGTGTTCGCCATGTCGCCTAACAAAATACAAAGCAAGCACGTGTTCAAGAAAAGACAATATGAAATATATGGTGATTTATATATTTGTACATATCTCATTAAGTTCAGTTAAATACAGTTATAACAGAATATACTTGTTTGTAGAATAGAGAATAGAATAATAACGACACAGTAAAATTAAGTTACAATGTACTTATATCAATCTTCCAATAAATTTAATTTAACTTACCCATATTCCAGTAGCAAGACACAGTAAAAGATAGATAACAATAACTACTAAGTCAACAGTTGTAACACCGGCGGAACTAAAGGCTTTTACTGTACTATTATCTGCCATTATGTCAAAAATATATGATTCGGAAGCTTAAATATCATCTATAAATATCTCCCTGTCATTTTACGTCCAAACAAATCGGGAGCACTATCGAAAGATAGATCGAGGTCTATTTCAGATCTTAAATATATTTTATCTAAAATACGACAAATCCAGGTATAAAAAGATAACACTCAAAACGTTTTATATAGTAAGATTTAATCTGCAAACATTGAAGTCGTAAATATTTTCTATGCAGTCCAGATAAACTTTACCTAACCCTTCATATGATACTTAAGGAGTTAGTTAATTGAACATTTAACATTGACAATTCAACTGATTAAGTTTCAGCAGGCATGTGAAGTTAATTTTGTTTGATCACCTTTACGTTATAGTAATATGTACAGAGTAAAGATAGCATAAGTTGTAGGCTGATCTGAATTAAGACAATTATTCATCGGATGTGACCACGAATTATTTTGAAACTCTTAATAATCCCGATTATAACGGCAATAAATAAAATGCGTTTCAATTAAATTTAGATACGATCCTTGTCAACTCATTGATCCTTCGATCACTTATTTTAAAAGGAACTTATCAATTCGACACCGTAGTAAGATCTTTGTATATTGTTTTTATCGGTATAAACATTGTTTGTGTTATTGAAAATTCAACCTAACTAAATAAGTATTGCTATATCGGTGCATTACATTTGCGCGCATTACCATTACATTTGTGCGCATTACCATTACATTTTGCGCAAATATCATTACGTTTGCGCGCAGCTTTTGATTACATTTGCGCGCATTATTTTACAGGTAAACTCAGGTAAATACAGGTAGATTATACTTATCTATTTATTTAACTATTATTTTCGAGCACAAGCACTTAGTCCAGGAAATATAAACAGATAAAAATGTAAAAAGCATAGAAAATCTAAAGATTAAAAGCACTGATTTTACATGTCGTAACCGGTGCACATAAATTAATGGATGTGCTGAATTAAATTGCTCATTGTAGTGAGCATGGAATGATTCCGGGCCGTTTGTAGTACGCCTGCTGACAGTATAGTGATGCCCAAAGGCGTTGCGGAAATAGGGAATCGGGTAAAATACCTTTGCCATTACTTATATAACTGTTCTGTCGATACGAATAGTAAATCCATCGTACATAAATGATCCCCCCCTTACCCCCCGATTTGTTTCTGACAAACGAAACTCCATGTGTGTGCTCTGACACAACTTTACAAACTTACTTAACTTATTTGTTTAAATCGCTATTCGGTAAAATAATGAACAAATTTACTCTGAAATATTTGCAATTAACTTACATGTATGTCTTAAGCTATTACGGGATTTCTCATGATCACTGTATATTTTTTTAGAATTCAATATGAAAAATATATAATTTTAATTTACAAATAGAACATGTTGAAAATTCATATTAACTATAGTCATATTTATTATGAATTATCTTTATTTTACCTGTGTTACCTGAAAAATAAATGCGCGCAAACGTAAAAAAATGTAATCCCCAAATGCGCTCAAATGTAATGCTATAGTATATGTATAGATATAAAACTAATGGTCCTACATCCCCACCACTTTTTTTATGTCCACAGGCAAGAGCCTGACATTAATCAAAATTGGTTGTCGTTGGTAATTGCACCTGACATAATTGTTTTTTATAAATTTTTATCATAAATCAAGCCGTAGATTATCTCGTTTGAATTGTTCCACATTTTGTCATGCCTCTTGTAGCTGACTATAAAATATGGGCTTTGTTCATTATTGAATAAAATTGAGAATGAAAATGGGGAATGTGTCAAAGAGACAATAATCCGACCAAAGAGCAGATAACAGCCCAAGGCCACCAATGGGTCTTCCACACAGCGAGAAAATCCCGCACCCAGAGGCGGGCTTTAGTTGGCCCCTAAACAAAAATGTGTACTAGTTCAGTGAAAATGGACGTCACACTTAACTCCGAAACATATAAATGAACTAAAATTTAAAAAAAACATACAAAACTAACAAAGGCCAGAGGCTCCTGACTTGGGACAGGCACAAAATGCGGCGGGGTTTAACATGTTTTGTGAGATCTCGACCCTCCCCCTATATCTCTAGCCAATGTAGAATAAACAAACACACGGCAATACGAAGGTAAAACTCAGTTTTAAAGAAGTCCGAGTCCGATGTCAGAATAGGTAACAGAAGAAACTAAGCCAAATGACATTCTGTAACCTATGGCTGTTTACATCGTCGTCATTGATGCTCTGGCGGATAGTTATATAAAAATAAGGAGATGTGGTATGATTGCCAATGAGACAACTATCCACCAAAGTTCAAATGAAGTGGATGTAAGAAATTATAGGAAACCGTACGGCCTTCAACAATGAGAAAACCCCATTCCGTATAGTCGGCTATAAAAGGCCCCGACATGAATAATATGAAACAATTCAATTGAGAAAACCAACGGCCTGATTTATAACAAAACAATTTACGAAAAACAAATATGACAGACATGAACCAACGACAACCACTGAACTACATGCTCCTGACTTGGGACGGTCACATAAAGAATGTGGCGGGATTAAACATGATTGTTTTTTTGGTGGGAAATCATATCACATATCTTTATTTTCATATTATGTCGGTTCAATTGAATTCCATGTGCAAATGTCTATAAATTATTTTAGAGCTTTGTAATTGCAGGTTCAAAATCCCTGATGTCACTATATTGAAAACCCCTGATGTCACTATATTGAAAACCGTAAAGTATGTAAAATATGTAAAATAACACGATCTTCCCATAGACACTCCGTAAAAGAAGATCGTTGATAACTTAATAAATATAATACGAATACGACGGAGAGAAATAATTGATTTGTAAAACTTGTAAATCAACCACTGATGTCGCGGGATTTACAAAACAAACATGAATAGTGACGAATAGTCCTATATGTGTATGCAAGTAGTCTACCAAGGGGTCCAGTAAGGCATTTAACCCACAGACACTTGTCTCTGGAAACGAAATTACCTTTATACTTAAATAATGATTATATTTATACTATGTAGGTAATTATTTTCAGAGATAAGTGCCTGTGATTTCACCTCTCAATCCCGTAAATCGCAATATGATTGCAATTTTATGACATGCAGCAAAGTACTATTTAGGATAAACCCCCAAAAATGTGGAAAAATTTGTTCCGAGCTCGCCGAAAATAGATAAAATATTGAGAGTTTTGGAAACAAACCAATATTGCACGAGCTTTTTTTCTTTATAAAACGGGTAGTTGAAAAAATAATTTAACGACAGAAAAGGAAGAAAAGGATGATCATTAAGTTAAAAAGTACCGTCTGTACGCTTGGGCATGTAAACATTGCTCGAAAGAATAAATGTTAATATTCTTATATTTTTTATCTTCTCCTAGTTTGTCTTTTTTATATTGTTCTGTAGTAAGATTTGTAAATATTTTGAAGTGATCATTTTTTTTTATTTAAATGCATTTAAATTATAGTTTGCATGTGTTTTTTCTTCATAAAAATTTCAAATTTTGCAAAACATAGAATATAGTCAATTTCCTTATCGTTCTAAATCTTACTCCAACACACAAATTATACAACATCAAAGAAAGCTCGACGTAACTGAAAACAATTTTCAAACATACTGAAATCATACCGTCATTGTCTAACTTTTTCGAAATACTAAGGATTTCTACCCCAGGAAAAGATTACCTTAGCTGTATTTGACAAAACCTTTCAGAATTTTGGTTCTTCAATGCTCATCAAATTCGTACTTTATTTGGCTTTTTAATTTTTTTTATTCGAGCGTCAATGATGAGTCTTTTGTACACGAAACGCGCGTCCGGCGTATAAAATTTTAATCCTGGCATCTATGACGAGTTTATTATATACTCATATATTATTATTTAGTTTTTCTAACTAATTTGATTCGTTCAGATTGAGTCACATGTTAAACTTTATTTTCAAGGTAGAATGAAAACGGCAGATCGAAAAGTGATATTGCACAGTTATTTTTAGAATATCTATAAATTGAAATCTAAAACCTCAATCCTTTGTGTCACAATCATAACAACCGATCAAAGAAATTTATGCTCTATTTCAAGCGTATTGAAAATAATGATACAACAATTGTAGCCTTTGTGTGAAGCCAATACGAGGATATATCGTCCTCATATAAAGGCTATAATTGTATAATATCGAGGACTGTATTTCGTAGAAAAGATTTGATACAGCAACATCATATATAGTAATGGAAGAAACTATCTCAAGAAATGACTGGAATAAATTGTACAAACTATCAATGCAGAAAATCAAAATTATGCAATTTAGTTTATCTTTTAACTTGATTAGAGAAATGATGTCTTTATATAAAAATACCAGAAGCAGTAATTAAACACACACCAAATTATAACCTTTATCAATCAGTCTATTCAGACAAGAAGAAAAAAAAAGTTTGAAGTACAATTCCTCAACAATGTCAGCTTCTTAATTAAATCATACAAGATCATACAATGTAAGTTAGTATTTGTGATAAAAAGATATTATCAACCCTACATTAGTTTGTGTTATAAAAGTTGAATTAAGCCTTACGGTGCTTTTATTCCAAATATAGAATAAAGACATTTTTATACACATACCAAATGTCAAAGAAAATGCATAATTGGAATCTACATATTATTAGATATACATAAACTTTACAAAGCGTACCGATATGGATCCCATTTCGGAAATATTCGTGAAGAAAACAATCTTTATGTAAGCATAGACATGTTGGATTTGAGACGAACGTACATATAGTATGTTTTAAAAGCGATTATACGTAATGTCTTTTTTAACAGAAAATACATTATACATGTTTAATTTACTATTTTCCTTGATGGTTGTTTGTTTTATCGTTCTAGAAATGGAAAACAAGAATAATGTTCAAATGCTACTACTGTGAAGAAGAGTATGATCAAGCGTATGTTATACGTGGTTACACAGCAAGAAATCACAATGATAGCTTCCTTTCAATTAGAGAGAAGTTTTTATTTCTTTTTATATTGTCAAAAGAAATAGTACAGGACGGAAAAAGTGTGAGCTTTTGTTGTTGTTTTTTTGTTGTTATTGTATTGGGGGGGGGGGGGGGGGGGATTGGCTGACCCGTGCCTCTTTTTATTAGAATATTTGTGTTTATATTACAATTTTCTGTTTGTTTACCACTCAAGTTCGCCACTGTAATATATATAGCAATCATAAAATATTATTGCCTGTAATGCATGACATGAAAATGAAAATATTATGGGTCCCCTGTACTCGGTTCTAAAGACCGTTTGATAAATTAAAGGATCCAGTGATTTTTAATATTATCTTAATCCTGCAAGGTTATGGTAAAAAGTTTTAAGAACAGAAAATAAGCATTAAATTGTAAAGGGTTAAATTTGATCAACATAGTAATATGTTTTTGTGACTTCAATGGTTGGAATATATAATATTGTCCTTCACCAAATTACACTTATAAAGACTATAAAAAGTCAGTGTTTAAGGCCAAGAATGCCTTCTTTTTTATTTACAATTTCTTTTGAAAACGGATCATTTGTTAAACAACCTGGACATTTTAAATGTGTCACTCGAAAAAACCCGGACTATGCAAAACATTGAATTTTAAATGAAATACATGAAATTGTGCGTCTTTAAATGAAAATAAAATTGAGAATGGAAATGGGGAATATGTCAAAGAAACAACAACCCGACCAAAGAGCAGATAACAGCCGAAGGCCACCAATGGGTCTTCAACGCAGCGAGAAAATCCCGCACCCGGAGGTGGTCCTCAGCTGGCCCCTAAATAAAATTGTGTACTGGTTCAGTAAAAATGGACATCACACTAAACTCCAAAACATATAAAGGAACTAAAATTAAAAAAACATACAAGACTAACAAAGGCCAGAGGCTCCTGACTTGGGACATGCGCAAAAATGCGGCGGGGTTAAACATGTTTTGTGAGATCTCAACCCTCCCCTATACCTCTGGCCAATGTAGAATAAAGAAACACATAGCAATACGCACAGTAAAATTCAGATTAAAAGAAGTCCGAGTCCGATGTCTGAAAAGGTAACAAAAGAAACTAAGCAAAATGACAATGATACATAAATTAACAAAGGACTACTAGCAGTTACTGACATGCCAGCTCCAGACCTCAATTAAACTGATTGAAAGATTATGTCTTCATCATATGAAAATCACATGTTTTACTTTAAATGTCATATTTTATTGATAAGATTTTAAAATCAAACAATTCTATTCTTATCGCTTAGAAAAACCATCTGTTACGTGTGTGATGTGTCAAGTCGATAAAGGGACTACTAGTATTATGGCTGCATAGGGACACCATTAAACGTGAGTAGGTATATATAACGGTGGAACTAGTAAACGCGAAATATGAAATGGAAACAGTGACATTTCTATTTTCTACAGTTACTGTACTATTTTTTCCTAAGCATTTGACCTCTTAAACAAATTGTGTATCGTCGTGGTTGTTTCTGAACGTTTCTAGTCACCCCGTCATAGAGAAACTAAACTCATTTGTGTTAGTACATAATCAAAGTGATTAATATTTCACGATGTCGTTTGTACATAAAGAAGGGAAACGTGTTAATTGTACGTACTCATATATCCTTGGCTTTATACACATACAACAACGTTTGTGTACTGTAAGTTGGGTGCCGCGAGGGTTAGATGAGTTGTTGATGCAACTTTGGGAGTAGAAGTTCTCTTGTCTTCCTTTCTGTTTTTAAATATTTTGTGTTCTATTGATGATAAGTTTGCAATGAGAATGATGTTTTTTTTCTTTTGTTTATTGCTGGCTATTTCACGCAGTTCCAAAAAAATGATTTCATTTAATTTGTGCATTATTTATTTATTTTGTATTGATTGTGATATCAACTGTTTAAATACACATCCTCACAGATGCATATTTGCCAATTAATATGAGTGTAGAGTGGTCTACTTAGTTAATCTACTGTATCGTTAGCCTGTCAACACTGAGGTTGTGAGTTCGAACCCTGCACGAGGCAGGTGCGTTCGACTCCAATTTTAATTGACTAGGATTGTCAGTTTTCCTGCCAAAGGTCGGTGGTTCTCCAACAATAAAAACTGATCGCCACGATATGAAAAAAATAGTTGAAAGGAGCGTTTAACACCAACAACCAATCAATCAATCTTAGTCATTTAACTTCGAACTTTGATTATAAACGCCTATGTAATGACGGCTATCGATTGTCGGTCAGAATTAGGAAAATTGGCATAATTTGTCATCAAAAACCTAAGTCATCTAGGTCTATCTTCACTTCCAAATAAACTATTTAATTTATAATAACTAATAATTGCCCAAATACTGTTAATACGATATGTACAACAGCTATAATTGAACATACTCTCCGAACAATAGCAGAATCAATATGTATTAAATTTTAAGTTATATTTAACTTTCTTTGTCAGATACCTAAATATAGATATGACACGTATAGAAACAATCAATTCCGAGCATAAATGAATATGAAATTATCTAAAGTGTATTCCCTTGATTTATGTGCAAAACTTGACATATGCGGTCGTTTTACACATAATTGGTTTTGTTTTTTGTATACTGTTGTTTGTCTTCTGCTCGTTTTTTTGTTTTTTTGTCATGACATTGTCAGTTTGATTTTTACTAATGAGTTTGAATGTCCATTGATATCTTTTGCCTCTCTTTTAAGTAAGAGATTTTTTTAAACTGCGGATTTGGATAATCAACTTGCGACCAACGTCGCTATAGTTGATTATTATTAATATTATTAACGGATCTACTATATTTTATTCATTTTCTTCTACTCATATAACCTTTAGATATAACCGAATTTATCAAGCATCATAAAATTTTCGAACCTCAACATATTTCTCTGAAGAAGTTTATTGTTCTAACTGTAAATTTTTTTTTTCAAGAGTCCACTGTCGACTGAAGTTAACTTACATTTTAACTACACCACAACAACAAAAACCGAATGTCACACGACGTGATAGAACTTGCGCGTGTTTTCGTCAATGACTATCATAATATTGATTTAGAATTTTTACCCCTTTTCAGACAACTTATGAGTGGAATGGAGTGTGAACCTTGTAATCTTTTGGATAAAAAGAATTCTGCAGTTCAGTGGTGTATATCATGCCACGAACGGTTATGTTTAGAATGTAGTAGTTATCATAGAGCTCTTACTGCAACAAAAGACCACAGCTTAATAACGACAAAACAATATGAAGCAATACTTCCAATTCTAACATCAGTGGAGACCAAATGTTGTCATCATTCAGAGAAAGATTTGGAGTATGTTTGTAAAGAACATGAGTGTTTCTGTTGTATTATATGTAAACGTGAAAAGCATGTAGATTGCAGAAAAGTTGAGAAAATAGAAGAAATCATTAGCGAAACTGATTTAATGAGCGAACTCAAAAATATGAGCAGCAGGTGCGAACACGCAGGTGACAATCTAAGTAAACTTACATATTCAACAGATGTAAATATGGTGAATTTGGACAAAGCTAAAAATGAAATATTTCATCAAATGCAAATTCATCGAGTGAAAATTAACCATGCTTTAGATACTATTGAAAATGATATAAAACAAGAAATTAATAAATCTTTTAAGACAGAAAAGAATAAGCTTCAAAAGCAAAGGAATGAATACACGAAGAAAAAATCTGAAATAGAAAAAGAACAAGAAATGATTCACACGATGTTAGAAACGGATATAAAATCAAATAAACATTTGTTTTTAGTACAACGAAACATCCAGGATAAGTTAAATTCGAAAGAATTGTTAGTTGAAAACTTTGTTTCTTCTTTCCAAATTATAGCTTCGAATTGTAGGGTTGGAACTAGTATTGATAAAGAGTCGGGAAGTGTAAAATTTACGAAAACGATAGAATTTAACAGAAATCACTGTAAATTTGATTTACATTCATTTCCTACGGAGGATGAAAATGACGAGACGGCTTCCTCTACTGTTGAAGCAGAAGAAATGGTGCCATTAGACAAATTTCAGAAAAAAAGAACCGACACCAAAATACCTGATTTTATAATATCGCCAGTATCAACCAATTATACGTTTAAATATAAAAGAAACATTGTCTTGGCATCAACTAATGCAAATTCCAATAATGCTCATTTTATCAAAAGTATTTCCAAGAAGTATGTAGTAGTATGGGCATTGTCAGAGAAGTATTTGTTGTTCTATAACACGGAGAGTATGAAAGAAAACAAGATATATCTACAATTCCCTCCGAGTTCAATTGCAATAATTGACGAAAAAACAATAGCCATTACAGCCTGTAGGGAAATTGTATTTGTAAATACACAAAGGTTCACTTACATGCATACTGTTAACATTGATGACGATTGCTTTGGGATAGCTTTCATGAGAAACCAACTATTTGTAAATTGTGAGAGTAAAGGACTTAAAGTGATGGATGTGAAAGGAAATATCTCAAAATCATTCGAAGAGATAACTGGAAAGTTGCAGCTGTGTGTACTTAATAGAAGGAATATTGCTGTAACAAAACAGGGATGTTATTCGATAATTTTCCTGAATATATCAACTTCAAGTATGAGAACAATCGATTTACCAGGTTCAGAAGTTCCGAATTGTATGAGCAGTTTTGGGGGAAATATACTTTTGGTTACCACCAGCAATAATCAGGTATTCCAAGTTAACATTGATTATAAAAACTGGCGTCGTCTTATAAAAGCAATTTGTGAAAATGACCAACTATATGGAATTGAGTTTGACAAATACAGCAATGAACTATACCTGATGAATAAGAATGGTTGTCGCGTCTACATACTTGGTAGATAGATGTGAAATGTTTCAGTTAAAAAATTATTTGAAAAAATTATATGTTTCTTAAACTTTAAGTATTTTTAAAAGATAAATAAAAATTCTTCCTATTCATTTTATAACTGTTAAATCGAATATGATATTATTAACCAAATATCTTTGGTAGCTTTTTATCAGATGTCAATACAATCGTACATTGTCAAATGAGAGTGATACTGCTATTTTGGCCTGGTTTGCACGAAGTATGTTGATGTCAATTTGGCGGGGAAAAGTAGGTACTTAATTTGTGAAATCAACTCTTCCTACAGTTAACTACATTTTATCAAAAGTATTTCTATTTCAACCAATATCGTCGAAACTCTACAGAGAGATTGTTCACATATTGAGGTTATGTGCTTATCATCGTGTAATTGTTGGGGATATTTTCCCCATTTTCTTGACTTTGGAACTTTGTCATTTTTAGCAAAATTTAAAAAAAAACGTTATGTATTTTTGTATAATCAACTACTTCTAAAGTGTTATCATGGAATTGTTTCATGGGTTTTTCATATTCTACCGACTTCAGAAACACGATACCGTTTTTGTGTAATTAACTCATGCAATTTTCAATCAAAGTTCTTGAAACTTCACAGATATATTTCACGTATTAAAGTGCCCGTGTCATTATGAAATTGGTAGAGGAGTTTTTACCTAATATGCGTACTTGGGTACCTGGTAGTTTTAAAGCAAAATTTACAAAAGACTGTGTATTCATCTTCTGTAGTTTTCAAATTACATCATTGAACCTTCACAGACAGATTGTATATTTGAGTTTGTATCTTTTATTATGGAACTGTTTATTAGGAATATTTCCGATTTTTCCAAACGTTTGAACTTATTTAAACTGTAAGTAATATATCAATTACATTTTTAATATCTTGTCTACCAGAGAATAACGACGTAGATGAAAGCAAGCTACATGTTAAGGTCACAGTATGGAGTTTCACAATGAGCTAAAAACCCTACCCTATAATCGACTAAAAAAGGGAACGACAATGCAAACTTAAACAAATTCAAACGAGAAAAACAATGGCCAGATTTAAGACAAAAACAATAAACAAAAAACATACAAAAAACAACGACAACCACTAAATTACAGGTTCCTGACTGGACAGGCAAATACAATGAAGCAGGGTTAACGTTGTTTGTGAGCGCTCAACCCTTCCCTAACATGGGACAATGGGACAACAGCGCAATATAAAAACAAACTGTAAAATCATCCGAAAATGGTTTAAATCATTAGATTGGTACGAATCACAAAAAAATAGCTAATATAAGACAAAAGACATAAAGTACTGATCTAAGAGTACTCACAGTTACTGAAAGACAGTCCAAATCCAATTACAACTAATTCATAAAGCATGTTCTCCCAGACTAAGGAATCAATCAGTTCCCATCTAACGGATGTACAATGCCAAACTATAAGTACATAGAAATGATAGGATATAGGACTATGAGTTTGCATAACTACTGTATATACCAATACATATTTAGTTATGTTTTATTCACCAGAAACAAAATCAATGTTTGCACCGATTAAATAATATTCAAAGTTCATGTGTTATATTGATAACCTTGAATAATACGTTTATTCAAGGATCAATGAGTTTACATGGATCGTGTTTAAATTTACGGGCTCTATAAACAACATTACTGTAAATGTTAGGATGTGATATCCAATTTGAATACTAGTAATAGATATACAGGTACCGCGAAATTGAAATTCATCCCTGACTTAATAAAATGCCAGTTAAACATATACAACGTTCATTAAAATCTAAAACGTCACTAAAGGCATGGGAATAGCAAACGAGTGGAAAAAATACACACCGTTAGAAGGGGCCAAGGGAACATCACCGTCTAAAAAACAAAAATGAAAATTCACAATAAGGAAAGCAAACCCGTCCCTTTTGTCGAAAATTTGTATGAAAAATTGCCCGTGGGAAACTAAAATATCCACTGTTAATGTCAATGAAACATTATGTACAAACCGACTATATAAGGCTTTTATCCATTTTCTATGATTTGCATGTTTTAATGTGCATCTTACTTGCATTACTCGTCAGTTTTCTGTCACTAACGATAGTATATTTAATTGCATTCCTTTGATATACCCATATCCTCAGTGATTGATATCATCTTGCATCCAGTTCATGTTAAGTTATGGGCATAGCAAACTCTATAGGAGAGAACCGAATATAAGACAATATCTATACATTTCAAAAACCAAAATCTGGACTACTTTGCACAATTTAATGCATAAAAAGTAAAACCACAAAAATACTGAACTCCGAGGAAAATTCAATCGGAAAGTCCCTAATCACATGGCAAAATCAAATGACAAAACACATCAAACGAATGGACAACAACTGTCATATTCCTGACTTGGTACAGGCATTTTCAAATGTAGAAAATGGTGGATTGAACCTGGTTTTATAGCGCTAAACCTCTCACTTGTACGACAGTCTTATCAAATTCCATAAGAGCACACTGGATATAGCACTGAATTGTTTACAACATAACTACTCTGGAGATAGAAAATGAAGAATAATAATCTACAATATTGTCATCTTAGATCCATAATCTTATTTACCATTCGAATGAAATAGCGAACACAAATATACGAATCCACTTGCCCTCATTAAACTTTCCCGTGAAAATTTCCTCATCAAACGCTAAATAAAGGTGTGTTTCAAACAATTGATCACGTTGTAATTCTTTTGTTTGTCTAATGTTGTCTCATGCTTATCAACCCAAAATGCATACATGTAATACCAATAACAAAATGTAAATATGAAAACCTATCCACATTTTGGTACTAATGGGTGGGAGAGGGGGGATAATATCAAGGAACTCATCAACCCAAACAGTCAATATCTATTGCCTGACCAAATATAGCCCTTAAACCTACCACTTGGATGTTGAATGAATGAGGATTTATCACATGTACTTCCGCCAAAGATATCAACCAATGAGACTAAACATAACATCAGCAGAATACAAATTTTTATCTGGCTGAACGACTTTGTTAAATCTTTATTTGTTATATCCCTTTATTAGGTCCTAGAAAGACCTTTTGTTTTTGTTCTGATTATTTTTAGGTCTTTCCACTTTTCCGTGGTCACAGTATTTTGTTCTGATTATTAGGTCTTTCCACTTTTCTGTGGAAAGACCTATTGTATTTGTTCTGATTATAAGGTCTTTCCACTTTTCTGTGGAAAGACCTATTGTATTTGTTCTGATTATTATTATTATTTTTTCCTTCTTCCGCCAAACCCTTTTCTTGCGGTATAAAGTTGTTTCGCAAGATGTCGCTTAGATATTTTGGATAATATATCGAACAGTTATTGCGCTTTTAAAACTCATCTTGTTAAGGCGAAGACTTTTTATTGTAAGAATTATCTCCCCGAATACTGTTTTTCTTGTTAGTGTATCTCCTCCGTAATCAAAAAAGATAACGACAAAATTCTTTTTCATAATTTTTCGTTACATCCTAAGGAATTTTTGGCTAATTTGGTTCGGAGCGATCCGGTGAAATTTTATAGGAGTTATCTACCTTTATCAAATAAATTTGTCGTTAAGTTTTTGTAACTCATAAACCGTTAGCCGTATAAACCTATAGTCTTTCAATTTGAGGTCCTTGGGTCCTAACTAAGAAAATGAGGTCAAGGTCAAAGGTCAAGGTCATGTTCTGAATTTTGTCTTTTGCTTATTTTTGCATTTTCTCCGATTTTTTTAACGTTATATATAAAAGAACTAGTGCAAAATGTTTGTTATATTGTGATGAAGATATGATACATTTGGTCTGGAACAATCAAATGACATCTTATAGGAGTTATTGCCCCTGAAATGTTTTATTTTAAGGTAAATTGATTATTTCTTCAGATTGGTACACGATAAAGCCATAATATCTTTTGCAAAATGTTGGGTGACATATGACCTTGAAAAATAATAACCGGAAGTGACTTTGAGTGAACCGAAAGTAGTCATTTTTGCACTTATTTCATGTAAAAGTACATAGAGCCAACATATATTTTTTGAATGGTCATACATTAACCTATCATTTTAGACCGGAAAAGAAATTTTATAAACCGGAAGTAGCATATTATCTCCCTTATTACAGGCATAACTATATTTTTTTTGTAATCAGTGTGAATAAAACTATCTTATGAGACCGGAAGTTACATTTTCTAAACCGGAAGTAGCTAATTATCTTTCTTTTTACAGACAAAAGTATATATAACCCATATATTTTTGGAATCAGTGTAAATCATTTGAAACCGGAAGTGACATTTTCTAAACCGGAAGTTGGAAATTATCTCCCTTATTTCAGGCAAAAGTATTTCACCAATTTGCTCGTTATATCCTCAGGATTGGAAGAATAATTTTGACCGAAGACAACCGGAGACTCCATATGAGAGTTATTTCCCCTTATGCATTTGTTATAAGTAATGTGCATTTGTAACTGTTAAACCATAAGTGATAGAGACCTAGGGTCTTTTGATTTGAAGTCCTTGGTCCAAAAAAAAAAGAAAATTAGGTCAAGGTCAAAGGTCAAGGTCATGTTGTAATTTTTTACATTCAGTTCATATCGCTTCTTCCCAGAAAGAGTTAAAGATATCGACAAAACAATTTAACAAAATTAAAAAAAAGATTGTGAGCGCTCTATCCAATGTAGGTCATTTTCATTGCAAAATTTTACTCCATAATTTAATTAGATATTTTAGGGCAATAGTTTCCACAATGATTTTGGTAAAAATATTACAGATAACATACAAACATGGAATATGGTTAGTTCGCCAAATATATGGGGTTTGTTTTGCTCTCAACAGTTCAGCCCTAGAGGAATAGTAATTAATATATCATAAATTTGATTTGGATGTTTGATTTCCTATATCATGTGTTATGTATATGTATGGTCGTATGTGTTTAATAGTAAAGTCATAAGAGTTGTGTCCCTTTGTATACTGATACTTATT